TGAAGGTCGTTCTAAACCTACCAGGCAAGATTCAGAGACTGGTCGAGCGTGCCGATTCCCGCGGCGCCTCTTTGTGTATCGCTCTTATTGCTTGGAGACCGAGGCAACCAAAGAAAGATTTTACAGGAAAAACCTGGAGATTCGTGAGAAATACTAGAAAAGTTCAAAATAAATTATAGATAATAAAAGACGCCCACGATTTTTTATTTTATTTGTGATCAACTTTGAATTATACATAGAAAGAATGATTTTGAAGTATTTAAAAATTTAACTAGATATAAGCTATAAAAATAATAATTTTGAACCAAATAATTATGTTATAGGACACTCAAATTGGTTGTGTGAGAACATTATAACTTTTTCAATCAACTTTTAAGCGTTCTACATATTTATTTTGATGGTCCGACAAACAAGTTTTAAATATCTACAACTAAATTTTTTAATATTTTAACAAAATCGTTTTTTCTGTACAAGTATGTGAAATTTAGCTAATCATAAAGTATATTTAAACAAACGTTTACTTATAAACTGTTAACAGTTAATTAACAACAACAGTACATTAATAGAAAAGAGATTTTATTATCTAATTTATCACCAACTTTTTCTTTACACACACGTCTTTCGGGAAAGAATTATCGAGTAAATACATGTCTGAAACTAGAATAATTTAAGAAAATCTTAAAATCTGCAATTAACATCGAGTTAGCTCCAGGCTAGCCGCAAATGTACGAAAAACTCGTTTTCTTGACTCATTAATCATCGTCAGCTGGCACGTGAAGATGTGAAGATTAATGGCTCGGCAGTAATTAATTCTGATGCAGTGATAACGTGCTATCGGTCGAAGACGATCGAATGGAATCTTCTCCTCTGAATAATGCAAATTTTGATTTGGATCCATCAGTCTGACAGTCTCTCAGGTTGGTTTGTACCAACTGCGCGATCAACTGCGTATTTCTGATTCTTATCCTGAAATATTTGTCGCTTTTTAAGTGCCTAGTAATTATAGAATCGAGTGATTTGAATTGACGCTCCCATTGCCAATAAAGACGCGGACACGTCCCACGGTCGAGTTGAGCCTGCAATTCCCAAGCGTGCACATTTGTCTCGCGCCACAACCGAACAAGTGACAAGCCGACCGATGTACGAACGAAACGTACGTGCACGTGCGCGACGCGTTTACATTCGCTGTTCACGTTCGCATATACGAAACGCCGCTACCACCGCCTGGGAATCATCGATGTTTCCCATACCCAGCATTCTCCGTTCTCACCGTGAAACGGACGGTTCCCAAAGCGCGTCCGTGAGACTCCGTCATGGATTCGGAACCTTTAATTTTTACGAGGATTAACTCCGACGCCTCGATTACGTGATCTTCCTCCTCACTTCAGATTTAATATAATATCTGTCGATAACAATAAGTTTCATTTTATTTCTCATTAGATTTATTATTTTGAATTTCGTTTGGAAAACGGACAAATTTATAAAATTTGAAATGTATATAAACATTTATAAAATTTAAGCGTATATATGAAATATAAAAATAACGAATCTCTCCGTATGAATGTGAAATATGTAAATATGCGAATATCGAACATTCTCGTCTCCTGATTCACTTTAGCCGAATGTACTACTTGTCTAAGCATGACAACTCAATCTACTTTCGGATATACCTCTTAGTACATCATACTTCCCTGGCAGTTTACTTATCAATTTAGATTATGTCGTGAAAGAGCTAATTACCTGAAAATCCACACTTTTATTCTTAAACTTGAAATATATGACATATCAAAATTTATTCCCAGCAACAAATTCTAAAACGGTTTATCTCCTTACTTAAAAAAAACATTATAGCTTTATTCTTTATACACAGGCAATTCTAATTTACCATACATTTTTTGCCAAAAATTTATTTCATTACACTCAACTTTATAAGATATTAGTATCACGGGGAAAAAAATATAGAATAAATATGGAAATAGCTATTCTCGTTTTGATTTTATACCGCGGTGCTTAATCTCACGGATTTTATAGATTTATAGTATAGTGAAGATTACGGGTTCTCTCCCAGCTTCAAAAGATTTGGCTCTACGCTCTATTCGACTCCCGGTGCCAGACAGGAGCACGACCACACCCGTCGTGCTCATGCTTCCCTAGTAAAGTGATACAGTTTATTGGACTTCTTCGGATTGGAATGCGACGTCAATGACATCCTTATCTCGATAGAGAGAGAAAGAGAGAAAATAAGAAAAGAGGAAGGACGAGTCCGAGCGGTTAATTCGGGACGCATGTCTTATGCACGTGACACTTTGCATGCCACTGCTCGCACATGGGAACTCGATTTCACAAAGTTGATTACACGTCGAGTCTACCAGCTGTATTTTTATGCCACACTGATGAACTGACTATGCCTGGTCAGTGAGTGTCAACTGTTACTCTTCTGTCATTAGACATGTCTGCATCACACGTATAAAAAACTAATGACGAGCATAGATATTTTCACATAGTTGCTACTCTGATAAAATTACATTAAAAATTACAAAATTATAGTAGATAATTTTGGGACCCATTATTAATTGGTGTATATTTACACGTGTAAGTGAACTTATAACTTACAGATTAAATTATTTTTCTTTGTAATAATTAAAGAATTTGCAAAAGTAGATATAATACTTACATAATTGAAATTAAAGTTATAGAAAGATAAAAAATTATAAAATACCTGTTATTATAATTTTCTGTTTAATATAAAGATATGTTTACACAATTGAAGATGGAAGTATACTAATTTTTCTGCTAGAAAAATATCAAACTTATTTCTTTGAAGCAAATTTGAAGCATATTATAAGATCAAAATTACTTGTCGTACTACTGTTTATAAGTCCGAGAATACTTGTGATTTTTTTTTTGTATAAAACACAAAGTTAAGGTAAAATAGTCTTCAACAATTTTTGAAAAAGTTTATACGAACCGAAAATATTATAACAAAAATTTTTTTACTTCTATCTTTTGTCTACAAAAACTGTATAATTTATATTTCTTGTCTATAAAAACTCTTTAACCTTGATGTTAATAAATTTTTACACAACAAATTCGATATTATTGTGAAAAATCATTATATCAATTTTGTTAATTTTCTTATACTTTGAAGCTTAAAAATTTACTTTAAAATACTTTTTATTAATTTTTATGGGATATTTTTATCAAGTTACAGCGCTTTAAAATAAAATAAAAACGTTAAAAACAAAAATAGTAAAATTGACAAAAATAGTAAAAATTGACAAATTTTCAATTTTACGTAATTTAGGAACAAAATATCATAAAGACAAAATTAAAAAAAAAATTAACAGTTCTATCTGTTCTTTTTAAAATACATTGTTAATCAAAACTCTTCTATACTTTTCAACAAGATATTTATAAGTTTTTGCGAGACGCGAGAAAATTGCAAACGTTTCCGAATTTATAAACGGTATAATGTACACATGAGATTAACCAATATAATTGTTATTAAAAAGTATTTAGATTATCCTGTAAACAGTGTTACAACATGCTTTAATTGAAATAAGGAGGAAATTGCTGATTATGAAGGGGGAAAACAAGCACTGCGCCAATCATGCCGGTATCGACCGTCCGTCGTAGTTACTTCATTCGCCACTACGCGGCTACCACTCGGCGATATTTTCTCGTATTTAAGTTTCATCTCCAAACTGTATATAAAGCCAGTAAAATCAAACATCTCTATCGCTTCTCGGCTCTTTGAGCTAAGATCAAATGTGTAGTATCTGTTCTTATCAGCTTAATATCTGATACAATCCCCATAGGGGATTCAGAATATTAATCTCATTTTTGGGCCAAAGTGGGCGTATGGAGCTTGCTCCGTCCTCACTGCGGGTCGACCCGGTCTTGCAGTACTTCGGGTTCGGCCTATAATAAACTATTATAAAAATAAATCTTTCTAGAAATAGAGATGAGAAAATTTCTCTAATTTCTAATTTTTCTTCGAATTTGAACTTTTCACCGTGCGGAGCCATGCCGCTGGCATCTAATCTATGTCACATGCGAACAGAAACATACAATCCAACAGAATTCAAATAGAAATATTTGCATTCTGATTGTCAATACTAATCGATCCAGAGTTCGTGCTGCGCAATCGTCGTGACAACGAAATTTTTACAAATATAATCTGCATTATATAATACGCGCGCGGCTGATATATACAACGACTCTTGTTGTATAAATGTTTTATATTAAGCAAATTTCAAACTTTGTTCGTTTAATTTTATAAACTGCGTTCACGGATTGTTCATAACAAAGTTCGTGAAATTTGCTTAATATAAAACATTCATAACAAGAATCATTCTGTTTACATCGAAAAGATATTTCGTCAAAATATTCATTAGATTCCTTTATTTTTTGCTCTTTATTATTTAACTTCGTTCACTTTGTACAAAAGCTAATTGAGTTAATAATAATGTAAAAATTGTATATTTCTGAAAGATATGATTAATTATTTTGTAATGATAATGTTAAGTTACTCATATAATACATTTAATAAAGGTTAAAAAATAAAGAGCATACAGCCACAACTAAGGATGTAATTTTATTATTTAAACATAACAATAGGTAGACGTTTCGGTCAAGAAGACCCTCTTCAGTACAATAAATCTGTTAAACTAAAAACATAATTTGACTAATAACAGTAATGACAAACAGTACAAAATTTAATATTTCCTAATTGTACAGAATTGTTCGCACTCGATATAAGTAATTAACGATACATTTGGAACATTGAAATCAAATCAAATACAAAATTCGAACGATAATTATAACAATAGCTTTTATTTTTTAACCTTTGTAAATTTCTTAGCCACTTTCTAATAAATTTAAAACATTTCATAAAGATTATCAATATTAATATACAAAATTGATGATTATAGTTAAGTCAACCAATAACACAAGGAAAGATGTAAACAAGCTTTAGAGATTTTTGTATTTCTCGACAGGTCATCAGCTGACAGTGTTTAACAGCCAGTCTACTATTCAAGTAGGCGGTAGATGGAATCGCAGCAAGGGCAGAGTGGAACGTCCCTTCCTCGGCGTGATAGCCGGACTGGTCGTCAATGGTGCCAGAATTTTAGAACTGGCAGCTGCTAAGGACGGTAAAGTTGCAACTAGAGGAGATGTGCAGCTCCTGCCAGCAGGAAGTCTCCTGGATCGCGCCCCGCCCTTACAAAGAATGCAACAGGTACGTAATAATGTCATTTGAAGTTAATCTCGAATAATTCCCAAGATAATTGCTTAATTTTTAATAATTAATTCTCTTTGTAGACACCGGCGTCCGGATTTCCCGGCGTCATGGACGACCTCATATTCTCCGGCGCCGGAAGTGGCTGCGCCGGTGATGACGAGGACGAGGAGTGCACTCCGATCTACGAGTCAGGCTCCGGTAAGTGTAAGTAATATTTCCGAAGGAATAAGTAATCTATTCTGCACGTTTTCCCTATGAGGGGGTTTTCTCTACGTGCGCGTGTCTTGTTGCGTAATTTTGTCTCGATGGCATCTCATATTAATGTCATTACACTTTTTCGCACATTTATCACGCGAAATAATATTTAAAGGTAATTTATTTCTATATAATTCTAAAAAAAATACTATCTTTAAATTTCTTCTTTTGAAATATATCGCATGTTTTTATCATATATTTCGCGAATTAATTGTAAAACAACTTGTAGTAATTTTCAGTTGTATTTAATTGTAATTGAAAATTCTGAAATTATATATACATACTTGCTATTGCAGCTTTAATTTCGTACAAATTTGTTAGTGTATCTTCAGATGTATACATTATTATGTATACGTACACATTATTATGTTTCGATTTATTCAAGAAATAGATCTGGCATGAAATAAAGATTGAATTACAACGAAAATAATACGATTTTTATTAATAACTTATTATAATAAAATGTATTTATTTGTTGAATTTATTTGTACATAGATAAAATTTGTATTACAAGGTGCTTTGTGATATTTGCAACAAAATTTTCCTTTACGGTTTTGCAAAAGGATTGTTAGATTAGGAGTTATTTGCAAAAAACCTACTTTCTCGAAAGCGCTCGCGAACCAGTCATTCCATATATAAGAGAACGAGCATCGCCCCTCCACTGTGTTGTATGAAAGGAGAGACGTTTAGCACTCCCCTAGACAAGGATGGATTAACACATGTAATGGTAGGCACTGTCGTCTGTTGACGGCACTTACCAACATTTTTTTTTATTTATTATTATTCGTAATGTCAACAAAATTTGTTTGTATCACGAAAGAAGATTTTGATCCTGTAATTAATTTTTTAATTAATTTCAATTCTTTAAGAAAATTATCTTTTCGATGAATTACAAAAATTGTTCAACGTAGACATTGTTAATCACAATAATGAAATATATGGTTACAAAAATTGTTTAAAAGTTTAGACATTTGTATTTCCTTATTTTTTCTATATACTAGATATATTCGAGAAAAGTTAGTATTTGAAATATTTCTACAAAATATAATATTTCCAATCACACGTATAACAAATAATAATTAAAACATTGTCATTTTCATACGAAACAAAAAGATAATTAATACAAATATTAATACAAATTAAACGATTTGTAAAAAATTGTACAATATTTCATTAAACAGACCGCGTTTATTTATCCAATAAATAAATTGTAATTAACCAGAAAACATGTTTTTGAACCGTTTTAATTTCAAAAAATGCAGCTTATATTTTACAAAATTAATAAAATAACTTTTTAACGATATGTAATTTTTCCTATAAAATGTAGAAAGAAACAGTTATTTAAAAGTTAATTTGAAGCAGTTAATTAAAAATTAGAATAGGCAATGTTCTTAATTGATTAGCTTCTGTATGCAAAATTGCTCTTAGGCTATCGTTGATATTTACTTTACTCTCAGCACGCATCGCGTCACATGAAAGGAAGGGCGTCCCCGTTATACGCTCACGCATCACATACACACTCAACACGCATCGCACGTATCGCATGGCATGGCCACCTTTTCGCCTTCATGTTCGCCCGGTTGTATCTTCGATTCATTTACATATTTAGGATCTGCCGGCCGGCAGAGATAAAGCCTGACAGCTTCCTCCTCTCTCCTTCCAGCAAACCTCTTGCGGCGGACTGAAGTCCCGCTCCAAAATCTCCTCCGACTAACTAAAAACTAAATTAACATTGTCACGTTAATGAGACGCGATAACTGCGAATGATAGCCAAACGTCATATCCGGTCATCCTGTAACACGACGCGATGTATCGCGTCGAAATTTCTACACTATCCAATTACACCAAATTTCTCGGAAGGGTTTATACTTTGAATTATACTTTATAACATCATTATAATTTATTTTTGAATGGTTTATAATTTAATGGTGCAAGTTTCAGCTAATAAATATATTACCTTAAATTATCATTCGATAAGCATTTTGATAAAACCACATAAGAAATATATATTTGCAATTACTTTTATGATGCAGAATACAAGATTTTATTGCTAATGTGATTACTCTTATTGTACTATATGTCTATATATTTCGATTATACCTTCTAAATGTAATCAATATCGTTCACTTGAACAATTGCGTCGCTTCTATTTTCAGATGACATCATCACACCAGTGTACGTAGCGCCTACACGATTGCCGACGACATTGAGGCCGAAGCACAAAGAAAATATTCAAGAGCGTCCAACCTGCGACGACGAGGAAGATTGCGAAGAGGGCTCCGGCGATTCCAGAACGACAGAAGAAATTTTTGTCACCTCGGCCACCGGTCCGTATTCCAAGAACATTGTTCCGTCTAATCATTCTTAATACCTTTCTTTTAGCAGAAAGCTGCAAAATGCAATTTTACAAATGTTGCATTCTAAAGAATTTCTGATTCGCTTTAAAAGATTTGATATTATTAAAAAATTAATATCATTTATGTGATATATAGATGTATAGCTTAATATTATATACAATGTATATATATTATGTATATATTATGTATATATACACACATATAATTATAGAAAACTTGCCATATAAAATCTCGCGTGAACGAGCATCGATCGATTCTCTTATCGTTCTCGGTCATCGGCTTTATATACATACATATAAAGAATCTTCTGTAACGGAAATACGATGTGGGCGTCTTCCTCATGTTCATGACTTTTTGTGACGCGCGCACCAACCATCGCCTGCCATGAAAATAGCACTACCCTGTTGCTGGGGGGCGACATTCCTTTCAGTAATAACATTTGCCTCGTCGAGTTACAACGTTCAAACTGGATATTCTGTTCTTAATTTTACCCGAACGTAGAAAATCGTATAAAAACATCTTTGACATATTCTCTCGTACACATAACGTGAAGCGCTTTCATAGAGAATTCCTCATTACATTTTTTGTACGTATGTCTATCCAGATAATTTAAAATTTTAGTGCGCAATCGTAAAATAGTATGTTTACTAAAATACAGTGCCTCTTTGTGTTTGTTTAAAACCTTAATAATTACGTCCTAAGATTAAGCCTCGCAATAACATATTTAAATTCCAAGAAGTCCTCACGTCTTTATATCTAAAATAATACAAAATGTTTATAAGGCGTGCTTCTCCGTTGCAGCATATAGTACAACATAGTAAAACATATAGTAGAAACATATAATACAGGCGACAGCTTATTGAAATAGTCATTTTGATTTCACAATAGACTTATCGTCAGAAAAGTCCATGAAATATTTTATACTATAAAAAAATCTGTACTGTATATATTGAAATTAGAGAGAGAAGAAGAGAGAGAGAGAGAGAGAGAGAGAAAGAGAGAGGCTTAATTACTGCTCCTGCTTGGAATGTCGCTCAAGAACTTCATTCTAAAAGCTCCTAATGTCTAACATCCGTGAACTTCGTGACTACGTGCATAAACGCGAGACGTGTGTGAACGTGTAAAATAGTCTGCAACATGTAAAATAGTAATTTTATCAAAAATTAACTGGATAAATAAGTTGGCGCGTCACTTTATGGACATTCCTCTCGAATGTATACATATGTATATATTATGTGATACGTTCCTGATACTCTCGGGACCGTTCGGCTTGTAACGTTTCTGCTTACGCACGCGTGAATATTTGCCGGCCTACGCACGCGTAAATATTGTCGCCTCCGCACGTTTCGCAACCCGTCCCTTTCGCTTCCATACCCTACTCCCTGCTTTTCCTCCACTTTTCCTCTTCCACCTTTCTCCCGTATCATCCCCTCCGCGCGATGGAACGAGGCGAAGCAGCCTTCTAACGCACATTTTTTGTCACCCTCTTGCTTTCTGTCACAGATATCAGCTCGGTGACGTACACGACGCCCCGTGAGTACTCGACGAGCCATATCAGCACCCAGACGACGTCGCCGTCGTCGACAACGTTGGGTCGCGACGTCGTCACCGTCTCCGTCCAATACAACGTGTCAACCACAGACCTCGAAACCAGCCATAGCAGGTGCGTGCGTCTGTCAGCAGTGATGCCGGATAATCGGATAATCATTCGGATAATTGTTTATGCATATCGATTAGTCGTTACGGCAGATGATTACTATATATTTTTCGCATTCTCAGAATCGCCATAATGTTAATTTTCTATTATAATCACGTTAAAACATGTAGAACGTACGGTATAAATTATTTCCTGATCAATTAATGACAGGTATTTACTGAATTCATAGAATAATTTAGAAGCTTCCCTTTTGCATCGAATATTAGAAAAGTCTTTCAATATTGCTGGCATCATTAACGAGGTACAGCTCAATTAATAGAATCAATTTGTTCAGAATCAATTTTCTCTTTTATATATATACACACACGCGCGCGCGCGTGTGTGTGTGTATAGTATAAAAATCAATATGCATCTCAGTCTAAAAATTCGGAACTGTTATATTTTCACGATTCAATCAGTATTTTTGCAACGATTTAATTTAATCGAATAATTAAATTTAATTGAGTACTTTACTTGCAAAAATTCAGACTCCTGTTGCGCGTGTAAACGAGAGAAACGTTACTAGCAAATATACATACTACGTGCTGTAATCATCCTTTATTCACGGTAAAAAGTCGCAAAATTCGCGAAAACTACAGTCCGTTTTGTAAATAATTAATGTCGAGCAATAATTAAAATTTAACAATTGTTGCTTACGCTTTGCAGCAGCGTCGTAACGCATCGATCGACAACCGTGACAACGCAGACGACCACGACGGAAATGACGGAGCCACCACCGCCACCTCCACCGCCGGTGTATCCACCGATGCCCACTCCGCCCAAAAACAATAACAACAAGCGGATCACATCCGAGGCGGCAGAGAATGCCGCGCTTATAATCGGCATTATAGCCGCCGCGTTGATAGCGATAGTCTTGATCATATTGATAATCCTCAAGTTTAAGAATCGGCCGGAAACGAGTTATAAGGTGGATGAAACGAAGACGTTCTGCCAGGATCCAAACGCGGCTCTGTTAGGCGCCGCTGGCTCCGGCCAGCCCTTCAATGGCTCCTTGAAAAACGGCGCCAACGGCAGCAAAAGCAGCAAGAAACGAGAACTAATAGACATTAAAGAGTGGTACGTGTAAAGGGGGGTATCCACATATTGGGCAGGACATTGCCTTGTGCTTGAGATTTGTGTATAAGGAGTATAGCCAAGGACTTGGCCAAAGAACATGCACGTCATCTTTCGTCGCTGGAAAGGATTGAGAATTGAAAGAGTCAGAGGAGAGTAAGTGAACACACAGTCTCTTATGAGTCTCGCACAGGTGTACAAAGAAAATGTACTCGCTGATCAGAGCATTCTCGTAAAAAATCCTTGTCTGCTAAGTATTAAATGGGTCTGGTCCAATGCGAGTACTGAGACTCCAAAGATCTATCTCGATATACAACACGAAAAATATCGAGTATTCGTTAAGAGAGTTGCAATGAACAATATTCATGAGAATGCCTCTGATCAATAGTGAATACAACATAGTTGCGCGTGCGAAAACGATCTTTCCATTACGAGTGATGAAGAAGGGCACGTTTAGAAAATTCTCGTGACAGCTTACGGGAAAAGCGGTGTAACAAAAGATCGCAGTTAAATAAAAATCCTTTTACAAAATCTTCTGTGCGAAAAGGATTAAACGCACGAGAGACGATCAGCGATCTTATCCTTGATAAGGTACATTTTCTAAGAACTTTAATGTCGGGATTAATGGGTCGTATATCTAAGTGGAAAAACTCTTGGAAGAAAACATGATGAGACTATGGTACCATGGAAATATATGAAATTTCTCTTAATTCTAAGGCGAATTGAAATGAAATCGATCGCACTTAGGAAGGTCCGTCGAATTGCTCGCTCTCGCAAAGAGAGCCAACGAGTCGCGAGGTACCGATCAACGATCTAGCGCTAATCTTCTTGTTTCCTTGACGCGAAATCTCAAGACAAAATTTAAACATGCAGCAAGAATCGGGCATCGATTGCAAACATTTCAAAAGAATTTTTCTCCCTATTCATTTGTCGTGAATTTTTTCAAGTTATGTTTATATAAATAATGCTTGCTGGCGCTGCTCGATTTTTTTACTACATAATAGCAAATTAATTTGTCGATTCCGAAACGAAAAGTTAAGGCTTTTCATTAATTTAGAATGATTTTTCCATGAGGAACGAAGAGGAAAAACGAACGCAAAGATCGTGAAATTAATCGTAGGAATTAATTAAAAAGGAAGGAAATGTTGAAGGTGATATTAGCAGTGACTGATTCGGACGAATCTTAGGAAGCAACTTGCACTGACGTAGGCAGGCTATTTTTATTGTTTTACAAATTTTACTTCCAACATCCTCTCAGTGAACGCGACGTTAGATCATTCTTAAGTACGTGTGAATAGTGTCATTAGTTTTGAATTTATGTACAATCTTTACTCTTTATAGAGCTAAATTATCTATTCATTAAGAGCTAGATAATAAAATGTCCGAGAGTGATTTGTATGATCTTTTAAATAAGAGACGATATTTTAAATAAGAAACTAAAAGAATTGTGCATAAATGTTTCATAATATTTAACCATAATGTTTATTATTGTAAAATTTTATTGATGTTATATAGGTATGAAACAAATTAATAATTTTATATTATAATATTTATTTATTTAATTTAATAATTCAACAAGAAATATAGATATTTTTTTGCAGATTTTATTTAAAATATAAAAATATGTACATGAGAAATAAAATTCTTTGTTTTAGTATAAAATTATATTTTATCTAAGAGAAAATATATTATTTAATTGTAACTTTTTGTACAATAAACATATTTATGTCTATAAATATTGATAAATTATGAGATAATTTATAAAATTTGATATCTCTAAATAAATTTTGTTAATTCTCTAATATAGCGATATAATTTTCAAACATTATTTATACACGTAATATCTTGTGATAGCTAAATTTTAAATGGTTCTATTCTACTCTCGACGTGCTGTTTATAAGAATAGATGTTGGAAGTGAAATGTTAGGAATGAAAGCATCGTGATGATCGTGTATTCTATCCTATTCATACATTCATTATTGTATAGAAAAGCAACAGATAATATATACGACACACACATACTTATCGATTATGTTATGCGTGTATAAATTGTTTGACTAATTAAATAGATTTTATTAAAGTCTGTTTTGAGCAAAAAATACATGACACATATACCTAAGAGTTCCATTCTCGAAAGATTCGAGTGTGAAATAATTTAATGAGGAATGTTAAATAAATTTATCAAGAATATTTGTACTCTTTATGTGTATTATTTACAAAGGAAAAATACTGGTTTTATTGATCATAATCTTTGCATACTTTCAATATAAAAATATATAAAATTGCCAAATATTATAATTTCAAGAAATAATTTTATTAAAAAAATAGGATTCATCACTTGGAAAGTTTTTTATTAATTTTACAAAAAATATATATTACGAAATTTGTTTAAGATAGCAATTTTTACAAATAGATGTGATTACATTTTGGAAGTGTGATAGATTACTCGACATACAAAGTTGAAATTAGTTACTTTAGAGACAATATCTTTAATGCAAATTTTAATGTAGTTTACGTATTGTTAAGTGCGAATTAACATGCTCATGATATTCCTCATTCATGTAAATTGCACACTCGAATTCTGTTTCACGCGAGATTGTACGTAAGTGGCTCTTATACATACGGAAAGTATCTGTAAGTAATCCGAGAGAAAGGATAAACTTGATGAATGGATGATTTATATAGCATATACACAAATATGCTTATACATAAATACAGGGTGTGTGAATGCATTATTGCCAGTACGAGTTAGGTAATTGATCGAGTCGTATAATGGCATCGAGCGTGATTGCACGGTGTGTCGCAAGTGCATCGAGTCGTTTCTACGAAATCGCATCGTCTCCTCCTAACTGAGATTCACGATACGCTCGTTTTTATACAGGGACCTGGGTATCGCGCATTGTTTCTTCTCGGCTATAAACTCTTCAATAAATCTCTTGAAAAGCATTATAATATCACGTCATCTCTCTTAACGAAGACGCCGATTACAAATTGATATGGGAATTTATAGACGAGGACTAGCGGTACTTTGATGCATCCTGTATATATAGCTGTGTATGTTGTTAACTTAGTATTACTATTAACAAGGTTAATCGTTGACGTAGTTGGCGATAATAAAGATTTTTTAAAACCTATTCTGTGAAGCTAAGGTCAAACCAGATATGTTAAGGACCGAAAGATAATTTATTATCCCCCCATACTAGGTTGTATTAACATAGTCGATTAATTATATTAGTAGTAATGTTTAAAAAAATAATTTATAAAAGAAATATGTTGATCTTATATAAAACTGAGATGTAATTATTATTGTTAACATAGATCAATTGACATTGATCTTCAACACAGTGAAAATACTTAGTTCACAGAAAACGGAAAAATAATTTATAATTCAACGAAAAATGAGATATTAATAACGCAAATTTTTAAGACGTGATATAGTTTATGATATTATTAATTTATAATTTTCATTTTTACACAATTAATATATTGTTATCGAGTTATTAAAAGAAATTAAAAAAAATTTTTCAAACAAAAAATTAATTAGTTCTTTATTAATTTAATTTAATTTCCATCTAAATTATATGAATTCACAGCAATAACTGTCTTAGAAAAAAAATTCACGTTTATCTTTACTTTCTCGTAATTACTATATGTACTTAATTGTTTCGAAGTAAAATTGATTTCTATTAACGCGACTGGCAATTAACATGGTTAATAGTAATAAGTGTAATAACAAGCCACAAGGCAACATTTTTGTCGCAAATAAAGCAATAAATAATAAACGGGGCTTAGCATTCAAGTTAATCTCAAGCGTGGCAACACATTTAATTTTCGAAGTGTTGCACCGCCCGACTTTCGAGCGTTCGTGACAACTCTCCACATACATAGAAGATCCTGTTTTTTTCGATTTTTTTACGCCTATACTTTTTCATTCCAATTACGGAAAGCGTAAAGAAGTACTACTGAGAAAGGACAGATCTTCAGTGGGCGAATAGGATAGAAGAGAGTGTGTGTGCAAATTGTCGTTCAAACGCACCTTTACGCCAGGGATGAGTAAAATACTAAAATAAAATATACTAGGGGACGTTCCAAAAGAGACGAATATATATATATATATATATATAT